GGGGGTTGGACTGGATGACCCACAGAGGTCCCTTCCAACCCCGACCATTCTGTGATTCTGTGATCTACAACCAGTAGTAATCTTGCACGAAGCTGGAGGTGACCTGACATCCCCAGCTCCCCTGCTTACCGTCCCAGCTTCTCCTGCCGGATCAGCGCACCACATTCCTCAACAACTTCCAAACAACTTGAAAACTCCCGTCCCTCACTACCTCTTTGGTAGTAATCATCATGGCAATGGCACAGAGGGAGGATGGGGAAGAAGCTGGACGCTCTCGTGGCTCCAGGCGCTACGGCCTCTGAGCATCTCTCCGTTTAGGAGTGCCCCAGATGAGAAGTGGAGGGCCTAGAGCCTCCAGAGAGTGTCCTGGACCTCCCAACGCTTTTCTCAACCACACCAGGTCACAGCCAGCCGGATGCTGCCAAAGCCCAGCTCCCTCTCCCGAAGCCATCTACCCCACGGATGGTGGCATCGGCGTGCCCGGGTTGGAGGGCTGGCGAGGTGTAAAATGTAGTCCTGAGATATTCTGATAAATCGCCAAGCCACCACTGAGGCCACCACTGAGCATTTCGCTATCAGATTTGCTGTCCACAGCAAACGAGCAAGAGTGTAATGTCAGCACTGATGTTTACTAGCTGGAGTAGGGGCTGTCTGTGTTAACTCCCTGTAGTAACGCTGAGGACCCCCCATGCCCTGCACGCAGCCCCAGACCTCCACGTGCAGTAGCTTGGTTCCCCCGCTCCCCCAGGACCTGCAGTCAGAGAAAGGTCCCCCCCCGCCCCCCGCCGGCGCCCGGGCAGACGAGGAGGTGGGTACTCACGCTCGGTGCAGTACTGGCCTTTCCACCCCGGGTTGCAGACCTTCTCGCCGCGCTCTCCGCAGGTGAAGTGCCCAAAGGCGTCGTCGCGGGGGCGGCAGAAGACGGAGCAGCCCTCCCCGTAGTAGTGCTCGTCGCACACGAAGCGGTAGGAGTACTTGAGGTCAGTGCGGCCGCTGCTGTGCAGGTCCTGGGACCACTCTTCGCCCACCGCCAAGTGCCGTTGGGTGGCCAGGCGGCTGATGAGACGCTCGGGGTTTTCTGTGCGATGGGGGAGGGGAGAGGCGCAATCAGGGGGGCCCAAAGCAGGTGGGGAGTAGGAAGATGCCAAACAGGGGGGCTGCGGTGGGAGGGGAACTGCAGAGGTGTGGTAGGGCTGCGTGCCAACAGGTTGGTCTCTCTCGTGATGGTCTCCAGAAGAGGAGCAGGGATGGGATGGGGGGAACGCGCTGCACACCGCGGAGAGAGGGGCTGGGATTGTTCTGGGGAAGGGTCCGTTTTGGGACAGTTACCTGTGGTGAGGTCATCAGGCGAGTCCGTGTGCAGAGCCTCAATGATAAGCGAGAAGGTGCCCTGGGGAAAGAAGGAGAAGAGACAATCCACCAGGAGAGAGTGAGAGAGGGCAGGGCCGGGAGGCAGCTCCCCCAGGTCCCCCCAGACACCCCCAGGGGACTGGCAATCCCTCGGATGGGCGCTCGCCCGACTGGGGCAGCCAGGAGATGTGGGATGGGGTGGGCTGGGATGAGTTGTGGTAGGACGGGGATGGGATGAGGATGGGGGTGGGATGGGATGTGGTAGGATGGGGTTGAGATGGGGGTAGGATGGGATGGGGGTGGAATGTGGTAGGATGGGGATGGGATGTGGTAGGATGGAGATGAGATGGGATGGGGATGAGATAGGATGGGATGGGATGTGGTAGGAAGGGCATGACATGGGGATGGGATGGGATGGGATGTGGTAGGATGGAGATGGGATGGGATATGGTAGGATGGGGATGAGATGGGATGGGGTAGGATGGGGATGAGATGGGGTGTGGTAGGATGGAGATGAGATGGGATGGGGATGAGATGGGATGGGAATGAGATGGGATGTGGTGTTGTGGGGTGTCCCCCCTGCCCACCCTGCACCGCCCCACCACTCACGGGCCAGGTGAAGCCGAAGGGGAAGCGGATGGGGTTGCTGAAGGCAGGATCAGTGCAG